GGGGGGGGGCAGTGGCAATGCCAACACTAGACATGGGGTCCGGAAATTGAGTCGCGTCCCGAACACCGCCTATGCCTGTTATGCGTTCAACCCACGTGAGCTCACTCAACTGCAGCAAAAATCTATCAGAGGGGACCAATTTGGACGCTTACCCAGTATGCTGGTACTGCACATGCCAAAGAGCGCATCCAATTATCACTTCGATTTCAGAAGGTGGTCGAGCACATGGCACATCCCGAAGAGGAATTAACCACATCCGGTTGTTCACTCCTTCCATTTTTGGAATTTAATGCATTCCGTTAGATTACGATGAAACCACACGTGAGAATACGTAGACTTCGGAGGTTTTCACTTCTTATCAGTGATGTCAGTGTCAGCCCGCTATCAACCGTCCGAGAGGTGCCGCAATCGAAGCCGCAAGGTTGAAGAAAAACTGTCAAACAACAAAAAGTACGGATCATAATTATTTCGAGTCACTTGCAGTGGTTGATCCAGTTTTAAACCGGCAGAAAGGTTATGTTAATGGGAACAGCGTCAGGGGATTATATCACGATAATTCCATCGCAGTGCAATCCTATCCCGTCCTCCTCCCTCTTTCGGAATTAGATCGGGAATAGACTTAAAATGGCTTTGCGGCAACAAGAAGGGATTCGGAGGAAAATTTGCTGGAAAGGAATGCACACTTGACTAGCTCTAAGAAAGATTTGGAAAACCCACAACACTAAGTAGGTTTCGCACCGTAAATCAAACTGATGGGGCACCCACGCGCATACCATCCAGAAAATTAACCCACTGCCAGGATTAGAGCACGGTTTTTCCTTTAAATGCCTTCGTTTGTACTGCCTCTAAGGCTTTTTTTTCCTCGGTAATTAAGTGCAGCTCAGGTGGACTTAACTGCCTATGAGTGAACCTACAGGAGACTGGCCACGTGACAGGTTAAGAGGTACCGTGAGGGAAAAAAAATAAAGGAACAAAAACCTTTCCGAACCCAAAAGGAAAGCCCTACATTGAACTTTTAGCCCTGAACGATTCAGTAAGAGGCACGGGGAGACAACTACGTTCATACTTACACCCAAACACTGGTCTTACCATGGTAGTCCGAATATCGCGTCAGAAGCATTTTCAATAAAACGCCTGGTTTTTCCCTGAGATTGGACGAGTTACAGAAACACCAGCATCGGATTAACCAAACAGTGATCTTAGGTTAATCTTCAGCAAATCGATCAACATAATCAAAATAAGGCGATTACCAGTAGACCTGGCTGTCTCATACAATGTGAGTTACTGCTCTAGATTCGGAAAAGCAAGGCTAGCGGTTCCCCATAGGGCCTTATAGGGGTCATTAGGTACATTTCTGAGATTGTTCACGAAGTCACGGCATACTTTTCCTGATTACTTGAGGAACTAGGAACTAGGGCTGGCTTTGTACAACATTCACAGCCTCGGAGTGGCCGGACCATTCCGGATAGCTCTGACTTTGACAAAAGCACAACTGAACTCCCTCATCGAAAACCCTCCCAAGGGAATACAACAGAGGACCAGTGCGCAGGGTACTCCTATCATGGAACTCCCAATTCCCGCCGATTTCAGGTGAGAAGTACTGGGTACATCTGCTACGATATAGAGGAAATTAGACCGACACATAAAAGAAAAGTCAAAAATAAATGGTAAAAACAAATTACACAATAAATAAAATTCTAAAAAAGAAAATAGCACTTTGAATGGCAAAACTAAGAAAAGAGGCTGAGAATCTGAGAAGTAGTCAGAAAGACTGATATTTATCAATAGGTGACTAATTTAATGATACAAAGGCTGCTTTCAAGAAAAATGAAAATTTCCAATTCCACCCTGTTACCCCCTTTTTCTGAGAACTAAGGTGATAAAATAAAATGAGATAGTTGATCCCTACGATTTTTGATCAAAATTATCAAAATTTTCAGTTGAATGAAACAAAAACCATTTGAGTAGTACTGTAATTGGAAATGCCAGTGGAGAACGGNTATCGTACCCCTGAACATTTCCTCAGATTGAACCGTCCAACCATCATTTCAACTCTACAACATTTCACATTCCAGTCGTTACATCACATCACACGCCTCATGAGCCCCCCAAACAGCTGACCACCCCTGATATCGATCGATCAGAAAGGCCAATCATTTATGACACCATAGGTAACCCAATGAGGTAGATTAACAACGCCCAATCGACCACCTTACACAATTCGGAAGTTCTTCGCAGGGTTCCTTTCACAGGATCACCAAGAAGCATGGGATTTTACAATTACCATAACACTACTTTCCGTTCGTTATCGATCCGTTGATCGATCAATCGATCGACATCGAATGGTGTTGTGGGTTGTGGCCGAGATGGAAAATCAAGATGGGAGACTCAGCCACAGACCCACACACAGACACACACTTACGTAACGACGCGCATTGATTGAACGGGAGGAGGGGGGTTGCGGAAATGACGTCTGGGAAAGTGGTACTGATCAAATTTCACCTGTACATCGATGAGAGTCTAACCTGGGAAACTGACCTCCCAGGTCCGTGTGAACAATTGGAAAAAATCCAAAAAACTAAATAAATTGGGTAAGAAAACAGATTTTCCCGATTGAAATCCAAAAGTTGGCTTTTCCTTAGGCTGGAGATCATCATCATGAATCAAATGGTTAGTTCCATGTAAGAAAATGGTCGAAAACGAAAAGGAAGCGTACTCGGCCTGAGAAATAAAGAAGAAAAAGAGGAAAAAGAGAAAAAACAAAAAGGAAAAGGAAAAGAATAGCGAGTAAGTCCAGAAAATCACAAAACCCACCTGAAGATTAGTGTCATTTCGATGTCGATCATGACCGTTGGCTCGCATGGCACATGGTATTT